GGGGGGGGGGGGGGGGGGGGGGGGGGGGGGGGGGGGGGCATAAGCCTATCAAGATCCAGACTCCTCCGTTTCAGGAGTCGAAAGAATACAAGCTCTCTTGCCGGCAAAACTTCATCCATTTCTAATTTTCTATGCATTCAGTGACCTCTGGGACAGAACCAAGAAGACTCACCTTAAAACCTGGATGAGTAGCAAATATCCCTCTCACAGCATCCTCCGTTACATCCTGCTCACAACACAGGAATCACAAGCCAACACCAGGGCGCGTTAACCCCAACTTTTGGGGTCAGAAGTTCGAACCCAAATGCCACCTTCCCTTTTGGGGTCAGAAGTTCAAACAGTACCCAACTTTGGGGGCCAGAAACAAATGCCCCAAATGATTTGGGGCCAGAAACAAATGCCGCAAATGATTCATGCTCATCAGCAAACTGCAGTGACTACACAAAACACTAGAAATTCGCAGACGTCAAAAGAAATTGAAGCCTTAAAATAAAAATGAAAACTTTGCGGCAAACCAGGGAGGCTATGGCATGGAAGGAGGGTTCGGTTGTGGCCGCCCCCCCCTTCTTGATAGGCATCTACGACGGGCAGGGTGTAAGGCTGTCCCCTTTTCTGGAGATGCTGTGTGCATTTGAATTTTGAACTCATCCTTGCCGGTGACAAGTAACCGGACTGATGGCCCCAGAATAGAAGGGGGGCTTCGTTTTAACCACCAGTACCTTTGTCGTTTCGGAAAACACCGGGCCTCCCACCTTTCAGGAGGCGGAAACGAAACGACGGCCGCCGATTAGATTTATCGACGGCAGCCGTCATCGCGCCCTGCCTCCGAATTCTTCGGGAACCCCTCGTTTCTGAAGCAGCAAAGGTACACAGGGAGGGAGGGGGGGGCGGGGGTAAGGCGTGGAGGGAGCATCGGCAAAGTGGATGCCCATAGGACACATCATGTTTTTTAACCTTGTGGATTTCCATAACAAGGGTGGACAGAAAAAGCTCGAAGCTCATCTCCGCACGCGATGGCTCAAAGCTCGAGCCACAACAGCCATAGCGCCAGGTAAACAGTGCATGTGCAGTTGGTTACTCACTCGGAGGTCTTCAGCACCTAGACTTTGTTGTTGGATTCTCCCAAAGAACACCCACTATAAACAGGATCAGCATGAGGTGGAGAATCCGCAAACACCGATGCAGGGAAGGAACTATACAAAAAGATTAAGCGGGAAACAAGTTGCCTAAATGCATGCAGCTGAGCTGCTGCTCAGCTCCAACACTTCTCGCGGTTAGAGAGAGAGAGAGAGAGAGAGAGAGAGAGAGAATAGTTCACAAAAGCCAACAAGCAAGGAAAGAACCAAGCACCGTAGTTCTCACACAAACCTCTGGAGAGAAGAAAAAAAATCCTGACACCTTCCTATAGAGTCTCTGCCTGTGTTCTAAACCGGGCCACCCAGGTCACCTTGTTCGATCGGGCCGCCCGGCTGGGCAAGGACCAGGGAAGGTTTCTGTAACCGCCCCCCCCCAAAAAAAGCGAAGAAGTCTAAAAAAGATTATGCTGTGCAGAAAAATAAACTGAACAAGTTTTGCCTCAGGATCTGACGAAAATTCTTTGCGAAACAAAAAAACAAAAATTAAAATTAATTTAATTAAACCAGGGCTGGTCCCCGGATGAAACCGGGGCCCCTCCCCCGACCGGGAGCCTGCCGGTCGGACCGGCCGGTCGACCGGGCCGGCAGACTCCCGGTTGAGTCCAGCGCATTGCACTTTGGGTTGGGGAGGGGGGGTACGAGGAAGTCACGGGCATCCCCGCGATTGTCCATCTCCAAGGAGGCCCCTGCCTCTGTGAAAAAAATAAAATCGGGGTATCCTGGCCCCATTTCTTAAGAAAAACGGGCGAAGGATATCCACCGCTGATCTTTGCAGATCAACCGCCGAGAACTGCCACACATTTTTCTTAAGATGCGTGTGGGTCAGGTACGCCCCTTCTCCAATTTGTCCTCTTGTGGTCCAAAGGACCAGTTACCATTGGTAGCATATGATGCTCGTTCACCCTCAGCCACGACGGGAACACTATAGTCGTGATGAGGCTCCGACGAGATTATATCCTCGTGCGACGTCCCTGCCATCTGTGGAAAAAGTTATGGGTTCGGATTTCAGAATCTTGTGGCCCAAAGGACCAGTTACCGTTGGTAGCATCCGATGCTCATTCACCCTCAGCCACGAGGTGAACACTATGCTTGTGATGAGACTCTGCCGAGATTATATCCTCGTGCGACGTCCCTGCCATCTGTGGAAAAAGTTATGGGTTCGGATTTCAGAATCGTGATGATGTCAGAGCCGTCCGAGGTGCAATCCCAATAATGGACCTAAGCTATGTTCTTCTCTCTATCTATCTGGAATGGACTTTGCACCACTACATGTATCTGGATAGACTGCCAGGCAAGATACTTCCATCATACTGATAACTCACCTTACGTAGAAAAGAACAAACAGAAAACGCTCTGCCCCCACGAGCTGAAAGCTGGACCCATAACTCTTCTGCTGTCGAGCTACATTCTGGAAGAGCTGTAAGTTCAGGCAAGGACCTCCTTTCATCATATGTGGTTCAGCTCGTGGGGTTGTCATTATCACATGACCTACTCCACGACATGCTCCAGCGATGGGGGGGTCAGATAAGTGAACTTGGTTATTTGACCCCTCCCCATGGAAGCCATAGTTGCCTGAATATATCAATAACCTCTGGAAGCCCCTTGAAAAATATCGTACCTTCAAAATCTTATTGCGGATTCCGACAGCTCTCGAAGAGCGCAGTCGGAATCTGCCCCCCCCCCCCCCCCCCCTCCAAAAAAAAAAGAATATTTGCCATTATCTGGGCACTTTTTTTTTCAAAACCGGTTTCCCGGTTCACCCCCCCTGGCCTGGTCCGTCTCTGGCGGTTGGACCCAGGGTAACTCAACCGGCCGGTTGCCGGCGCACCACTGAATTAAACAAATATATATCGTCGAATATCGTCTATATATATCGTCAAATATCGTCTATATATCGTCACAAACAGAACTGCCTGGTAAACCGTAGGCAGAGAGAGAGAAGAGGACAACAAACGAGGGGCTGTGACAAACTGTTTCGTCGGAGTATATCTTGTCAAACAGAGCTTCCCGGTAAACCGTAGGGGCAGAGAGGCAGCGAGGGAGAAGAGGACAACAAAACAAACGAGGGGCTGTGACAAACTGTTTGGTCGGAGTTTCACCTACCTACTCATCAAGAGGTATATATATTTTTTATTATTTTTAATTCATTTTTGACCCGCCCGGGCAAGTGGTCCTGGGCCACTCTGGTAACACAGGTCTCCTCTCTTTGCCACCACGGATGAGGGCTAATAGCTAGCTACTGCTATTTTTCAAGCAGGTGATTTCAAAGTATTCACCTGCTTGAAAACAATATAGTAATATACACTTCTACGTTGTAACAGGTTCTAAATTGTAATGGTTTGGCCAGGAGGGAGCTGAGTGAAATCGCTCACAAATCATGCCCTGATATGGCATCCAACCATTCCATACGTACCTGGGGAAGCCCATCAACAAAGAGTGTGGCAGATGCAGGATTGCCCTTGCTATCCCTCACGTATAGTAAAGCGGGGTCCGGAACCCTGGCATCATACAAACGCTCTCCATGATGTAATCCAGGAAGGCGCCCTGAAAGAATACGAACAAAAGGGTGCAACAAACACAACAATACCGTATAGTCAGCGCATTGATACTGCGGCACAACACATTTGACGTGCGAACGCACCTCTCCGAGCCCACAGCCAGTTAGGCTACTGGTACGAACGAAACACAACTCCCACTGAAAAATCGCCATGAGTCTACGGCTAGCTACCGTCTTCCCCCGAACATGACGCACCCTAAAAATGAATGTATACAAGCTATATTTCCGGCCAGATACAGCCAAAATGAGCGTGCGTTGCGTTCGGGGGAAGACGGTCGGCGCAGCAGGCCTTCAGACCCTCTGGACAGTGGATTCTGATAGCCCAGACTGGATGTATATACCTGCCGACATTAACGTCCGCATGTGCACTTCCAACCATCAAACTGGACTTTCGGACGTGCACAAGATTCCCCTTTTTCTCACTATGTTCAGAGCCTCCTTCAGGTAACATGAATCGCGTTGGTGCTATAGAGCAAAATGACCTCAGCTAACACGAATCGCGTTGGTGTTATAGAGCAAAATGACCTCAGCTAACACGAATCGCGTTGGTGTTATAAAGCAAAATGACCTATAACAAAATGACCTGTAGTGGCAGAAAAATGTTTCCCTTATCTTTCAGTTCTTCGAATGGTGTCAACAAACACCCCACCCAGACACCTCCAGACCCCCATTACCTCTCCTCTGACAGCCCCGGAGCCTTTGTTTAATTAATAGGCACCCCAGGATATCGTTAGCGAAAGGCCCAAAACCCAGGTTATCATGAGGATCCACTCCATTTTAGCATATCCCCACCAACAAGCCTTCACATGCGAGGCACAGGCAAACAAAGAGCGCCGTGCATGGAACAAAGGCAAAGAAAGAAAGAAACATCTAGCAGAGAAGCTGGGGGATGAAAGGGAACAAAAAAAAAAAAAAAAAAAAAAAAAGAAGGTGATCTGGTGTGTGTATGTATGTGCGTCTTGAATTTTCACCACAACAGCCCCTATCTATTCCCCACCCAGAGGAGTAGGTCCAAAATCGAAGCAGCAGCTTTTTTAATCCTATAGCAGACGATGAAGGCCCTTGAGTTGAGACAATCCAACAATGAAACAGTTTACCTGGGTGCTATAGCAAGCAAGCAACATGGAGCATGTCTGTTGTCAGACTGTTTCGCCGGACTCGGACTTTCACCGACTCATCAGGAGGGCGTTGAACCACGATAGTCTGCCCAGGATGCATTTGACTGATGGATAAGGACTCGTCACATCGCCCAGAGTTAGAGAGAAGCGGTTAACAAGAGCCCTAAATTTTCAGGGCAGGGTTTTTCCAGGGTCATTATAACAAACTTCCCACACCTTTCAAGCCACAGACTTGTCACCAGTCCATAGAGTGCTTGGGGGGTGTTAACCAGGGCTTAAAAGTCGGGGTCCTTCTTAACCGCTTGTGCGGAGTTAGTGATACCCACCCTTGAGAGAGAAAAGTGGTCGCCTTTTTCTCACACCAACCTTGCAATCCTACCAGACTCTGTCCAGGTTCAAACCCCCGACAAGAACAGCGGTAAGTCTGAGAAACTAATCTGACAAATAATCACAAATTCATAAAACCCATTCTACACACCCACTCAGCTATGTGTGTCTGTGACATACACACACACACACACACACACACACACACAGAGAGAGAGAGAGAGAGAGAGAGAGAGAGAGAGAGAGAGAGAGAGAGAGAGAGTGACCATGGAAAGCGGCCCTCTGCACTTGCCATCAAACTGGAGCGCCGACTGTCTTATCCTCTGTGTGAAGCTGCTAAGAGAGGATGGCACGACTTCGGCGCACACAGGAGCCGGTTCGCACACAAACAAGATATCTCTTCCATTTTCCATGGGACACAAACAACTGAGAAGGGGGCATTTGAGCTCAAGAGTATTGACTAGAGGTCTCACCCGCCACTGCAGTCGGGTTCTGCACTCCGGAACCACCAATGATGTCACGCCTCTGGTCCGCCGCTTGCTTGGAGTAGTTCACTTGCAGCGGTCTCTTCTGGGTCTTGTCGCAGTAGAGCTGGTACAGGACCACAGCACGCACTCAAAGAAAAAAGGTCAGTCCATCCTGTCCATTGCTGTGCATTTTTTTTCTCCACCCAAAAAAGCTAAAAAACAAACTAGATTGCAAAGAGGAAGACATTGATGAATAACACGTACCACAACCACGCCCCGTCTCAAAGGCCTCTGAGAGAAAAAAAACTCAACAGAAAAAGCACCAACTGCCCTTGACCATGGCTGCATTCCAGGACTCTCTCTCTCTCTCTCTCTCTCTCTCTCTCTCTCTCTCTCTCTCTCTCTCTCTCTCTCTCTCTCTGTGCCATGAGCGGCAGTCAAGTGACCACATCAGCCAACTACTTGCACTGGCGATGGATTCGCAACAATCCTCGAGTCAAATCCTTCAAATCCTCTTCTCTCAGAGGCGCTGCTCCACTTACGCCATGTTTGTGCTACAAAGGAAACCACAAACCTTATCTTTAAAGCAATCACCGTCACGTAAGCATCATCTAAAGCTGGCACCGGTCGGATCAGACAGAAGCTTCCAAGGGCTCTCCATTTTTTTTATTTTTATTTTTTTTGGCTCTTCATTTCTTCTTATTCCAGAGACTAACTCCAAATTATGCATGCACACTGCACAGTGAAAAACAGGAAGCTGCGAGATGCATGACACGTTTCGGCGGTGCGCAAGAATACTCCGTTTGGTACAGATGCAAAAATAGCCTTTCGGAAGACCACCACAGCACATAGCGACACGTGCCATGCCTGTCACCTTGAGGCACGAACCTCTTCACCGTTCTTCGTCATTTCATGCACGCTTATTTAAAAAAAAAAAAAAAAGATACATCATACATCATACATCATACAGGGAAAGAAAAAAAAAAAAAAAAAAACAATCGGCACACATAGCACCAGCCGCTCGTCGACCCAATGCCCCACTAGATCAATCCAGTGCTGAGGTTGTCAAACTCCCGACTGACAACTGACGTCTTTCCCCTCCCTTCACGCTCTTCGAGCTATAATCCATTGTCTGGCGCACATGCACAAAGCAGACTGCAGCCTTCTGCAGAACAGAACACAAAAGTCTTTGTATCTCTAGATTCTCTACCCAACCTCGAGATTGTCCTCGATACCAACAAAACCGCGTCCCGTATCGTTTGGGAGAAAAGAGGAGGAAGATCATGCGGAATGGTACTAAAAAGCCATATACTGTCAGCCCTTTAGTTACATATTCATACGAAAATATTAAAATAACGAAAGCAGCCCATCAGAAGTTCAACACGCGGTAACCGAAGTTCTGAAGACTGAAATATGTTTTTTATACTTTGTTTTTTTTTTTCATTCATACTAAAGAAAAAGCCCTATCAATTAGTCTTTTTTTTATCGGACTCGAGCCCGGTAGAGCCATGACTTGCTGACATGTCAGCCTTTTAGTTATATATTATTTGAATTTATTTATTTCTCCAACAAAGAGAATGAATATGCGTCTCGTAGCAAATTTGTACATCACGACTTTACGGCATCAACAAACTCAGGTAGCATCTAACATGCCCTTTTTGAGGCTTTGAGCATTAAAAAAAAGGATAAGATGACGACAACTACGCATATGCTACAAAGTGCGGCGAATCAACAATCCATGCTCCGAGAACGACATAGACGACCATGGCAAGACCCGGAAGCCGCAAATATACCAGCAAAATTGAAAAAAAACACCATTATTCTTTTTTCCCTTCTTTTTTAAGTTGAGAAAAACGAGTCGAAATTTTGAACCACTTCTCGATTTATGCGTCTCCTCCTTGCTTTCAGAGGGCCATGCCAATCTTCTCTTTTTCTGTATCGTTCCAATTTTAACAGACGTCCCGAAGGACAAAAAGTGTCGAAAACTCACCATCATTCTATGCCGTTCTGCAACTGCGGTAGGCACGTCTCCAAATGTGACGAAGCCTGAACGCATCTCCCCAGCACCCAGCTCCTTCTTGCTGAGGCTTATCTGTTGTGCCAATGGGAACATCTTTTGCACCTGTACACGGAAGTCCGAAACTTTCAAGGTTCTGTCAGCTGACGAGTTCGCTATCCAACATCAAGATCAGCAGATTCAGCACCATCCCCGCACCGATCAGCTTTTGGCACAACCAATACCAGATTTGCATCAGAGCACATACAGAATACCATGAGGAAGCGATGCCGCAAAACCATTTCCAGCTTTGCCTTGGAATCCTAGGAGCACGTAAAGTACAAGCAAGCAAGCATATGAAAAAGAACCATCATCACCAGGAGCCCAAGTCCTAGACCATAGTGTTCGTTTATGTAACAGACGAAACCCAAAGGTCTCAGGAAAGCTTAGGAAAGCGGAAAACACTGCAAAAAACAGGCGATACCCAAGGGCCTCAAGGGCTGAGCACTTGTCGGGGCAGCAGGGATCTGACCACAACGGGCGTCAGTGGCTAAGCACTCGTCAGGCTGTCCGGGTCCGCCTCTGAGGAAATGCACATCAACCACACAGATCAATCATCCAGTGTTGTGAGACCAGCAGCATTCCCACTGTTCTCCGAGTCCAAACTGAAGACAGATATTCCAGAAACCATTTGGGACCATTTTCTTAACGTAGCACAGAAAGAAAAAGCACGCAAACGAAAGACTGACGAGGTAGAAATGAGAGAGCGCGGCCTTTCCTGCTCGACAGTAATGCTTGGCTCGAAGTTCGACACAAACAGCGTACTGCATGGTGGGTTTCCGAGACGATCCACTTCCCCCATTGTGACAGCAACATTCCCCGCCGGTGGCAGCAAATGTCCCAGACCCTTCATCAGTTGGGGAGGGCCCATCATACCATTTGAAACAAGGTCAAGCGGCGGCCCCAACGAGGGTGCGAGCGATTGCAGACCGCCAGAGCTAGAATGACCATAGCTTGATGCCATCGATGGACCGTGCCCTAGAAGGTTTCCAAACGCCTGCACCCAATCAATCAATCAATCAATCAATCAATCAATCAATCAATCAATCAATCAATCAATCAATCAATTCCGACATGAAATGCAAGAACCACAACATCCAAGTACCACAGGCCCACACAAATCTCCTAGCACAACCAGAATGACCTTCACTTTCTACATCGGGGCTATTCGTTCGTTCTACATAACAAACGTCAGCCATGTGGCAACATCTCTGAGCACTGCAGAAAAAAGAGGAAAAAAGGAAAGGCGGGGAAAGGGGCGGGAAGGGGGCGGGGGAATCCAGAGGGGAACTTGCTGCTCACGTTTGCAGTCAAGCACTTGTCCCCATCTTTAGCAATCCACTAAACTACAGTGACCTACCATATTGGACCCGGAAGCTCTCCACACACCATGCTGTGGTCAGATTTGCACTTCATAGACGTTCAGATTGCTTTTTAAATAGGTTGTGAGCACGCATTTCCGCTTGTGAAACCCAAAAGATTTAAGTCATTAAATAAACTTAAAGCGGGCAGGATAGATTCCAGTTCTGCTCATTTGGTGAAGTTCCTCAGTGCTAATTAGCATTTGCAGGCTTCGAATTTGAAACTGTTCGCTGGAGGATTTACAAACCATCAATTGTGTGTGTTTCGTGTCGTTCACACGCGAATATTCATCGTTCTTTTCTTCTTTCATTTGAACTGTTTTCAACATCCGTTGTTGAGGAAAATGCGTGCTCGCTCTTCAGTCAGTTAGCATTTCACATACAAATTTTTCTTTTTCTTTTTTTTTCATTTGAAGTTTGAACTGTTTTGAGCATCCACTGTTGAGGAAAATGCGTGCTCGCTCTTGAGTCAGTACGCAGTTGTTCAGTACACCATCAAGCCGTCAGTATCCGTCACAATCAAGAGGATCGACCACTCTGTTAGGCTCGATAGCCTTCACCATCCGTCGCAATCAAGAGGGGAGGGGGGGAGAGAGAGAGAGAGAGAGAGAGAGAGAGAGAGAGAGAGGCTCGATCGACCACTCTGTTAGGCTCAGGGCTGGGTTCGAAGTTCGGACGCAGAACGTCAACACACTCGCAACGGACGAAGTCAGCGTAATTATCATTCCATCACACCATTTTGATGCTCCAGATCAAAGTCGACAATGGGAACGCATGCCAGGTGTTCGCCACCCAAAATAGAGAAAAAGAATCCATTTCAAAAATCGAACAAGCCAGCCATCAAGGAGAAATCAAAGACCGCAGCTAAAAACCATCCACAGTACGCAAGGCTCTTAGACATATGCATAGACAAGGCACACAACCATTCAAATTTCAATATACCAGAAAACAGAAGAGAAAAAGAAGCACGTAGAAGCGAAAAGAATTTGGTCGCTAGACCTGTGAATTGAAAGGGATGCATATCAGAGAACTCAAATAGGGGTTCAGGTGGGAAAGAACATCGGAAAAGAAAACACACTACACCCAGTGACTCTTCTGTACACAGGCCCTCGTCACACCTCGTAAAATACCAACATAACTACTGCTCACACTTTGAGTCGTCGGTTGTGTCATTTCATAACTTTACAGATTACGAGAACGAAAACGGCCGCTATGGATTAGAAATACATACGCATACCATCACACATGCAAAATCTGTCAGCGGAACTTCAAAACAGGTTGTCGCAGGCACTGCCGCACAGCATGGAACATCAATCACCCATCCAACCACAATTTCGTTCTTCTGCCCAGATAGACTCTTCATCATCCCAGGCGTATATGGACGTGTGGACAGATCCACAGATCGTCCATCATAGCCAGCGAAGTAGCGCAGGCCGCTCAAGAACACAGGAAGATAGTACTACAGTCTTCACCCGAATAGAACCCCCGGTCATTATACCCATATTTGGTGCAATTTTCAGTCCAGATACAGCTATAATAACCGGGCGCTCTATTCGGGTGAAGACGGTAGTATCCACATTGTCACGCAAAGATGCCATGGCACAGATGTCGAGAACACAGGGAACAAAGAAACCCATGTTTGGAATGCATTTACAGACTTAACTTTTCTTTAGACTGCCGCATACTTGCCCCCAGCGCACCCCCCCCCCCCCCCCCCCCCCAAAAAAAAAAAAAAAAAAAAAAAAAAAAAAAAAAAAAAAAAAGAAATTGGGCTGCAACCAGACAGCTAACTGAAACTCGCTCGCAACCGTGACTGAACTGCCAACCCAAACTCCAACCCATGACTGAGCTGCCAACCCTAACTTCATCTGCATTTCACCCTTCAGATGTCACTGGACTGCAGACACCATGATCCAAATGCATTTCGTGTGGGCGGGGGGGCAAGTTTCCGATACCCTAACCCTAACCGCGCCATACTTTTCTCGTTTTTTTTTTCTTATTTAAAGAAGAAAAGAAAGAAAGAAAGTCTTGGGCTCCAACAATCTTTGTTAATAAACCAAAAATAGACCTGAGATGTCTGACATTGTTGCAAACATTGGTCCTGACCTCATGTCCAAGATGATCAAAATGATCAAAATGATTCGCCAGCGGGCCCGAAGATGCCTGATAGGACAGCGCATTATCACTCAGCTGGCTTGGAGGGTAAACACCATAGGCACCACCATCATGCCCCCCCCCTCCAGGCAGTGACGAGGCAGTATCCCAGAGACCACCAACTGGCATTCGGCCTGCCATCTGCAGGAATGCTTGTTCGGCTCCAAGAACTGCACCAGCTGGCGCTGAATGCCCATTTCCAAGGGTATCAAATGTTCGCCTGCACCGATTAACACAAAAGGCAAGAGAGATGACACCGACACAGAAATCGCTCCTTCAGTGACGCAAACACCATTTCTGCTGAAAACCCTGAGATCAGGGTCTTGAAAACTTGTCAACTCGTCACCATTATCACAACAGCGAAGACCAATCCGCCTGGAAGAATAACAAGCGTACCACAACAATCACCAGCAAATGAAGAGCGGTCCCATTTGACATCTGGGAGGAGAGCATCGAATTGCAATTCCTCTGCTGCTTAAGCCATACTCCGCAGTCGCCAAATCTTCTTTATCTTATTGTCCCGATTGAGCGCAAAGCTTATACGCGGCCATTTTTTTGTGGAAGCATGGTGTACAAGCAAGAAATCAGAGAAATGCCTAAGAGTCTAGTGAGAGATTCAAAAATAAGCTTGGAGTCGGCCCGCTTACTTCTGTTTAACAAAGTTGATGATCATCTTCTCTGGCCATTCCTCCTCTGTGCATAACAAACAAGCGAGCAGCCACAACAACCACAGCGTCAGCAAGCTAGTTAGCGAGAACACAGCTTCGCACCCGCCACCATGACGCACACGCACAAAGAGAACCTGCAGCCCAAGGCAACCAGCACAAGAGGGCAAAAAAGCGGCTACTGGCCGCAGGTGTGGCAGAGAGAGGGAAGACAGTGTCGATCAGCCATGAATGACAGCAGAAAACAAAATTGAAAGATTAACTTGACAACCCCATGAGACGACGCAGTCGATCGTGCAAATCGTAAGGAAATAGGCCTCGCTCCACTACGACTCTCGACATGCGCAAAAGATAAATATCATGACGATGTATCTTCTTTCCTAGTTACAGTGGACGATTCACTCTCGTTTTGCCGCACATTTCGAGAGTAGTAGTGGAGCAAGGCCCAGAAAAAAAACCCAAGGGGGAATGAGAGCACGCAAAGAGAGGTTGCAAATGAAGAGAAATGATCGACTGAAATGAAACAAACGCCAAAATGAACGCAAATGTCAGAGGTTGATGGGAATTTTGGTGAGACAGAACATCGGAGGTTACCAGTACTGACTGACAAGCTACGTACAAATCCGTAGCGGGAAGGCAGGTTTATAATACTTTATATGCATCTAATAGCCAAAGACGCAAGACATCATCATAAGCATCAGCCAGCATACACTTTATAGCCTAAACCTTGGAGATGAATGACACATGCGAAACGTTAGAAGACAGCACCTTTATGGTGCTGTAGTGCCTTCCGCGCAGACGCCGCATGCTCTGGCTCTGTATATTCCACAGTGCCTGGTAAGACAAATGACCACAGCATCACCAATTGCGATCCGACCATCAGACTACAACTCCACACCATGTCTTACCCTTCCCTTAGACGCAGGACTCACAATACTTTCCTCGAAACGACGGTTTGCCTAGATAACCGAGAAATCACAGCTATTACTACGGAACCCGCACTGTTGTCCCTCAACATACAACACCCAGGGGTTACACTCGTGCAGTTAGAACAAGCATTGTTTTCCTTCAATACTGGCCATGTCATTCGTTGAGGAGAAGACCGCAAACACTTCTCTCTTAACAGAATGTGTTCTTGAGAGGCAACCTTTCTGGCTTATCGTCAGTCAATCGTTTCGTTTGGCAAAATGAACACCTTGGCTCCTCCTCTCTCTGGCCCTCTCATCTTCTGCTTTCTCGCCAGGGGATAGCGCTGTCTTCGTTGCAGGCCATGTATCTAGTACCCAAGACAACTCTGTCATCATAGTGTCACAACTTTCCTAATCAGTGACCACCCAACTTGAGGAAACACCCGTTTAGATAACCTATCCGGGTCACAAGCCCGAAAGCTCACGTTCCCCCGTCCTTCATTCCCCTGCACACGGCCTAACTGGACATCGAAATCACAACCCCAAACGTTCGTGCATTCCGCCTGTCCTCCTGTCCTCCAATCCTCTCCACAAACCCTCACAAACGTCCTCTCCCAGAGCTCAAACTACAAGCAGGCACTCAGACGGACATGTGTAATGGCTACTGGACCAAAACTGCATTCCGCTCTGTGGTGAGCGTTCCTGCAAGGAGTGTGTCATCCACAACTCTCACAGAGGACTTGTGGACTGGGCAAGACATCGACCAAACTGCGTCTACCTTCTTCACCCGAATAGAACGCCCGGTCATTATCGCTGCATCTGGACTGAAGCTGGGCCAAATGCAGCTATAATGACCGGGCGTTCGATTCGGGTGAAGACGGTAGTTAAACTGAGTTTGCTACATTTCCTCTTCCTTTGCCTGTGCCTTTCCATAATCGACCCCTCAGATTCAATCTGGGCACTGCCTCTGCCGCACAGGAGGATATGTTGTGCGTGCCCTTCGAGGGTGTTGGTATTGGCCCCAGCCATTCTTTAGGGACCAGAAGCTCCTCAGCTATGAGGCTCTGACAGTCAGAGCAGGCCGCTGGACGTGTCTTAGCGCCAGATAGTGCTCGGAACAGGGGACGGGTACGACACAGGAGGGGACAACACAAATGGCGGGAAGTAAGAGAGAGGGTTAGCTAGTAGTTTTTCGGACGCAAGATGCATGTCATCATTGCCATGGACAATTAGTCCATGAGGTCTTTCACACAAGGGTGCGCTTGCAAAAGACTACATGAGAAAGTGAACGTGGACGTTTCTCACGGTTTCCTTCCCTCTCCCTCTCCCTCACTACTCGATGGTAACGAAGATAAAACAACTCAAATCTCTTCTTTCATTTTTCTGCTTTGTTCATATGAATACAATCGCCACAACTCCCGATGCCACACACACAAAGAACTCACAGACATGGGATGCCCATTGTGGCTGGTAAGTAGATCTACTACTCGATGCTAAGTATGTCCCATGGGGAACGGCTTGCCCACTATTCTTCTTTGCTTTCATCTGTGCATCGAGAAAGAGCACCACACGACTGGATACACAAATTAGAGGCCGCAGAAGCAGGGCCTAGGCACTCGAATTACTTCCCTGAGAGAACGAGAGAACGAGAGAACGAGAGAGCCTTCGTCTCTGCATGGCTATTCTGTCCATAGTGAAGGCAGCATCAGTGTTAGTTCACTCGACACATCAACTACGCTTCGCTGCGTTGGTTGGCTAAGGGGGAGGCTATACTTCTATCACATGGTTGGAGACTTCGAATGTACTTTGCTCATATGCTTGACTGAGAGAGGCACCGCCGCTCATTGCTCCACTTGTGTTCCCTAATAAAGACAACGGACGACTACAGTGACATCAACGTCTGTACGTGTGTGTGCCAGGGCAAACCAGTCAGACCCTAATTTTGCCCTTCTTTTCTCATAAGGGCTGTGTATGTGCAAGTACAAACCCATCAAACCCTATTCTTTCTTTCTTTCTTTTGTCATAAGGGGATCAACGTCCGTGCGTGTGTGCCAGGGCAAACCCGTCAGACCCTAATTTTCTCCTCCTTTGCTCATAATAAGGGCTGTGTCTGTGCAAGTACAAACCAATCAAACCCTATTCTTTCTTTCTTTTGTCATAAGGGGGTAGCCCCTGGCCTTTCTGTATCCAGCAGGATCCAGTCCCTTTTTATCTGTTTATCAACAGCTACGGGTGTCTACCCTATATAGCCACCGGAAGGTACAAAAATCCTAATATAAACAAATTATACAGCTCATGTGGTTTACAATCGACCAAACTCTGAACTTCATTTTCAGCCAATCAGGCTTTTCTACTCACCTAGCACCCTTTCCTTTCCATCTCCATCTCCACTTCATTCCCTTTCATCTCTATCCCCACTTTGTTCCTTCTTGTTGCTGTTTGCATCTATCTTCATTCCTAGTTAGCTTACTTCGAATTTCGCGACTTTCTAGTACCCATCGGCGCCGCCTTTCAGGATTTCCTTAGGGACCAATTCACTCTGCGCAGATTGACAGACCGCAACCCTTGCACTGTCGGTGGTGCTCCTCCTCCTCCTCTTCCACCCCTTTCCACTCGCCATCAACATGTGTTATAATCTCCGTTTCCACTTGCCCGTCCACTGCATTTCCACCCCATTTCCACGCATCTCCGTATCCACTCCGTTGCCGTTCCATCTCCATCCCATCTCCGCCTCCACGGCAGGCCCTTTCATTTCCCCCCAGTCCGTTCCCCATTTTATTATTACCTACCTATAATGAACCTTTCCAATTCCTATGCACAACAACACATAATAGAGCAAAAAATATAAAGAAACACAAAAGTCAAAAGAGCAACCACATGACCGTGCTATTAAAAAAAAAACAACGCAATGCAACTCAAAGAACAAAGCCAACCCTTTTCAGTTCCCCCCTCGAGCCATGAAAACAACCAGAGAACCAGCACATCTCCGTCCTTTCGCTATCCTCTCTCTCTCTCCTTTCTGTCCTCCGTGTTCTTTCTCTTCCATTCCTTTCTTTGTCCTTTCAGCCCTTTCTTTGCCCGTCCACTCCGAGTTAACCTTTCTCTGTCATTTCTGTCCTTTCTGTCCTCTGTTCTTTCTCTATCATTCCTTTCTCTGTCCTCCTTTCTCCGCCCTTCCTTCCTCTGTCCTTTCTCTGCTCTTGCTTTTTCTATCATTTCTCTGCCCTTTCTCTGTCTTTCTCTTACTATCAATCCCGCCAAAGCATGCCACCCCAACCCGCCTCCATGACCAACCACATTGGACAGAATTGAAATCCCCTTCAAACATCCCCCCACCAGAAACCAGAACCAATTCCAGAACGGGAGACCACATCCGTCTCCCTGCGCCCCCCCCCCCCCCCCCACCCCCCCCTCCCTCTCCAATCCTCCCCCAACCCCCAGCCACAATACACGTCATTGACAATCAACGGCCCTCCCACATTCCCATCATCACCACAAACATTACTATTTTTTGCATTTTCTTCCGTATGATAATCATCATGATCATCACAATCAACAATCACCACATCATCATTATCAAAGGAATCATTGTCATCGCCATCATCAATTATCAGACAGCAATCACACATACATCATGGTCAAAAAACAGTTCTCCACTCTGTTGGCACAGGACAAACTGAAGAGGCATGCCTGTCCATTAGATACGCTTCCACATACGCATCGCTACAAACAAGAGATGCGCACGCAAAAACAGGAGATTCGCACAAGGAACTTTTCCACTCGATAATGTAAATTCAGCTTTCCTTCATGGAAAACAAGGGGGGGGGAGGGGGGGGGGGGACATACAAGCCAGACACGCAAACAACCCACCCACCCACCCACCCACCCACCTACAATAACAATCCTTAAATTCAGTGTGCTTCACGAAAACACATCATGATAGACCCACCACACAGCCCTTGCGCACAAACACGAGCCAACATAAAAGGGGGTAGAAGGGTGATGACACCAGCCCTGCACACGGACACGGCCCAACATAAAAGGTGGTAAAAGGGTGACGGCACCACCCCTGCACACGAACACGACCCACATAAAAAGAGGAAAAAGGGTGACTGAGTGAGCACCACACACAAACACTACCCGCATCGAAGGGGGTAGAAGGGTGAGGGAGTAGCCCCGCACACAAACACGACCCACATAAATGAGCGAGCAGCCCTGCACACGAACACAACCCACATAAAAAGGGAACAGAAGGATGAGGGAGCCAGCACCGCACACAAACTCGACCCACATAACAGGAGGTAAAAGAGCGGAGCCAGTATGGACGGGGAACGGGAACAGAACATGGAGCGCAGCAACAAGATGAAGGGGGAAACCCAATTAAAGAGAAGCGAAAAGGGAGCAAAAAGGGAGTATCGATCGAAAGCATATCACGGGCGGGTCTCAGAAAACGCATCATGGTTTTCCAAAAAAAAAAAAAACACAAAACATCATGGTTTTCGAAGAAGAAAAACACATCATGGGTTTTCAAGAAACACATCAACGATTCAAAAGCACATCTTCATCCTTCTCTCTGCACATTCTTCACATCATATTCCCATCCGGCGTGAATCTTATCGATCGCCATCGCCATCCATTGACATCGCCATCGCCATCCATCGCCATTTTGCTTTGCATAGTCATCATTGGCGGCATCATCATGAAGAAGGTATCGCGAGATCTGACGGCTTCTGGAGGCAGAAGGTTCATCATCCTTACATGTTCGAAATTCCCCCTGTGATCCATACACCCGCCTGTGCGTTAGACAATCGCCCACCTCCATTCATCATCATAACTCACCAATCATCATTCATCAATCACGACTGACCAATCATCAGTCATCACCATCATCAGCATCACCATCATTTCATGCCTCAGCAACCCGTTATAATCTCTCTCTCTCTCTCTCTCTCTCTCTCTCTCTCTCTCTCTTGTCCAAACAAGACACCACTGGCGCCAGACAACCCCCCACTGCATGTGTATATGATGGTCAGCAGAA